GACAACGGTCAAACAGCAATCGTTATGCCTTTATTGACTCAATTCTTAAAAAGTGATCATAGTAACATTTAACAAGCTTCTGTTGTGAAAATACATGTTGCGAATACCACATTGATGAAATAAAATGTGAATAGTCCTGAAAAACAAGTGACGGATATCTTCTTCAGTAATGGTTTAGAAAAGCTGCAAACCGTTGGTGTTGTTTACTTTAGTGGATATACTGTGATTTTATTGATTGGTATTTTATATTCGCCTATTCCTTTGTCAGGGTGAGAGCAGGGATACGAATACTCTCATCCCTCAAGGTACTCCTGATATATTAACTTAGATGCGGTTGGACACACATGTATGGGAGTATAAATTACTACGTAGCAAGTGTGTGCTTCATATGTTGAATATTAGTGAAGGAAACGTGGTGATCGACTATGCAGATTTACATCTCAACAAGCGTTGTATTGATGAGAAAATTGGTAAATTAGATAAGAAATTTTAACTTGTTCAGAACGACATGTGACGGTCAAGTGAACAATTCTTAATTTAATTCGAATGGTTTCTCAGTTGCCTCACACACCTACTCTCATCGTCAATCCAACTCAAGTATTTTTCAATGTATCTATACAGAGGAGCCTATGACGACGGTGAGATGAGATGTAAGAGAGGATGACAATATATGCAGATTGAAGACAAATATCCTCACTTCACTTTGTATGCGTCCTTCTCACATCAGGATAGTTGTGCCGTATTTTTCCTGTCCTTATTTACGCACTTTAAAGTCATCATCTAAAAATAATTCGGGTAAGCATAGAAGCAACAAAAATGGCATGAAAAGAATTTTTCTCTTCTAGAGAAAAAAGTAAATTTTTTTCATAAAATAATGCCACTTTTCTGTTCGTCTCGCATCAGTGTAGTGCGTATCTCCTTAAGCATAACTTACTTGTTTTCTCTTGTAGAGTATTACAAACAAATTCGATAACTAGCAAAAAAAATGAGTCACGGAGTTTTACAAGTGACTATTGTTGAAGGTCGCAATTTGAAAGACAAGGATATCGTCGGTAAAGATGATGCGTATGTTGAACTTTATTTGGAGAAAGATTACAAACAACGCACAAAGACCGTCAAGGATACCAACAATCCAACATGGAATGAAACTTTCACATTGTTTGCTGATTTGTTTCAACGTTCTCTTTTCATTCTGCGCCTTCTTGTTTTAGTAACTTGCGTAAACATCAGGACGAATTGCATTTGCATGTTTATGATGACGATGTCGTCGGTCGGGATTCAATTGGATCGAAAACGGTTAATTTGAAGAAACATGTATTCGGAAAGGGTCCATATGACGCTTGGGTCAAATTACCAGCTCATTTAGGTCTTGGTTCACACGGTGAACTTCATGTTATCATTCAACATAATGTAAGTTGATTTCTTTCTAAGTATGACATCATTACTTAATCTCTTCCTTTTCTAAGGCTTGAGTGATTCACGCACGATCAAACTGAAACATTACTGATTTTTTTAATATTTACTTATTTGTGTTTGAGTGACGAAAAGTTTTGAAACTACTTAAAATAAAACCAGCGATCATATAACATCATCAAACAGATATTGTGTATTTTTTCCGATTGGAAAAGGAAAGTTAGATGAAAGAGTGTATTGAGTTAGAAAAGATGACAATTTAAAATGTAAATATGTCAAAGAAACGACAATGAAAAAAACCCATAACGGATGATTCTGTTGCTGTGTTCGTACATTGTGTGCAGTTGGTTTCTATCAGAAAACTCTCCAAAGTTGTCGTGAAAAATTCCGAATCCTGTATAAATGCGAAATGACTCGTTCGGGGTAGAATCAACTCTCCTGCTTGAGGAATCCAACTTGTCATTGTATCTGATTGATCTCGAAAGGAGGAGTGGCCCACATTGTTGTTAAATAATTGAACAAATTTGAATAATTCGCTGCAAATGCAAATAATGAATTCAATCTACTTGGATATTTCATTGCCATATTAAGACCGATGATCGCTCCAAGTGACCGAATGTGTTCGTTGAATACCAAAATGATCCAGTAACCCAACGACATCAACAGCCACCAGATCATACGTAATCCCATCTGATGACACCGTACTTCTGCCTTGTCCTCGTGAATCCATCAGTACACAGTGATAAGATGATTGTAACTTTGCCACTTGTAATCTTCGGTAAGCACTATGAGCAAATCCGTCGTGAACAAAAAGCAAAAGAGCACCCGTCCGCGGATTCAGTAGTAGTCAATTCATCGACACCATCTGGAATTTATGGCAAAGAAATCAAATAAATCGATCTGTATTCTGCTGGCAACGTTGTTTTAGACGGTGTTATTATTTTCACCGAAGTCAACGATGTGTGCTTCTCGAAGAGACGAACAATATTTTCAACTGATATTGTCATTGATAACAAGTGATCATTCAGGGGATACACAGAAAGACAACGAAGGTGTTAAGAAGTTGTTATCTTGCATCCAATTCAAACTAAAAGGTATACCTCCATTCGTACTTCGATCGATGGTGCTAATGGCTGGCGTTAGAAACAGATATCTAACTCAAGTTTGACAATGTTGCGTCGACGTTCTTTCATCATTGTTTTTGATTGTGAAAAATCATTTATATCATGCATATTTGAACCTTTATCAAAGCGTAATATCATTTCTCGTTTAAAATCCGACCACGTATTTAATTGACTTTGACTTTGTATATGCCATCGCTTAGACTCATCAAACAAATTCTGAATCGCATGTTGTAATAATACAGAATCATCAACAAGATGAATCACTTCAGCCACCTTTTCAGTATCAGTAGACCATGCACGAACACATTGATATCGTGTATCAGTATATCCATATAAATGATCTTCTACAAAGCGTCGTTGACCAATACTTAATTTAGAAAAATCCATCATGTGGGTTATCAATAGTAATAATTAGTAAAAGTTGTTCTTTTGTCGATGTTAAATATGACAGAAATCGGGTCACGGCACCAATATTAGCGTTGCCTTCGCTCGAGAGACGAAACTCAATCTGTTTATTCGAAACGATATGAGAAAACATGTATCATGATGATAACCGAAACGGATGAGGAGAAGGATGTGAAGGCATGTATACGTACATGCCTGTAACAGATATTATTTTTATATTCTGCTCACGTAGGAACGATGCAATTTAGTCGCATTCTTCGCATCACCTAACCTATTTTGAATGTGCGAGATGTAGAATAAAATTCCGTTGCATTCGGAAGGTAACAATTATCACTGGCTCTCTTTTGACGTACTCGAATGCATTTCTACTGAAGTTGCATATTATAGTTTAGAAGAAAAGGACTGATGCATTAACTGATCATAATCAACTTAATCAGTTACTGTTGAATGAAAAAGTGAGACACAAAAATCTTTGAATTGTTTGCATAGTTTCACCCAGCGTCGATATCTTTTTCAATTGTTAGATGTCGGGAGAAGAGATGTTTTGAAATGAAACAAAAATAGCACACTGTCTGGCATGCGGAGTGGACGAGAGACGGTTACTCGCGAATGAAACTGTTTCAATGTCAAAATTAAAATTCAACGATCGAAACAGATAAAGAAGATAATAATGATAAGAAGCCACGCGGTCGCCCATGCACTTCTACACGTTTTTTGTTACTATCTTTCTCTAATCACACAAAGAAAAACTTCATCGAACCATGTATACGTTTTTTTTTATTGCAGCTGAATTCGAATGTGTTTGAGAGAATTGCACTCCAACTGATTCTTTGAATAGAACGAAAATAGGTAAAAAAAGCTGAGAAAATGGCGTATTTATTTAACTGACGACACTGGGTATTTTCCAACTTAGGGAGAAAAGCGCAATTTTTATAGACTACAACTTTGCTTGTAATTATACGGTTGTCGAGCTAATCGAACACTATACCATGAACGATAGTCTATCGTCAAACCAACTTCGACTTGAAGTACTCCCCGATGAACTTTTCTTGGAAATTTTCCAATATGTCAATCCTATCGATCTATGCAATTTGAAAGGTCTCAACCGACGAATCGATGGTATTATCGACGCTGTCCGAATGAATATTACTGTTCAATGGAAAGAGGACCGTGAGCTTGATTATATATCACGACCTGCACCGACACAAATCATCCGTTTAGAAATGCATGGTAAATGGCCGTCATTATTATATTTGCATACACTGACAGAACTACGCTCGCTTACACTTAACTGTAGATGTTTCTTGAAGGAACAGAGAGACCAGGTAATCTTCACAATTCAAAGACGTGTGCGTTGGATGTTTTCTTCCGTTTGAATTTATTTAGATTGTCAATGTCCGTCTGCCTCATCTCGAACGGCTCTGTGTTGTCAACGTAACGCACGATTTGCACGAGTCGTTACTTGATACTCTCTTCCGAGGTGAACACTTTCCATCACTCACGACTTGTCGTCTCGAGTTTGAATATCCGTATGATTTGGAACTTAATGAATATCGATCATCGTTAACAAACAACGCGATTCGTTGTCTTTGCGTGGACCAATGGAGTTTGTTTAATCTTGGTGCTCTATGGAATCAGCTACCTAATCTACGTAGATTCGAAACGAGCTTCGAAGAAACGTATGACCCTAAGGTCTGGTCAGCTAAGCCTCATTTATCGATCAAACATTTACGAGTTACAGTCAATAGTCCTTCACATGATTTGGAAAAATTACTCAAATTAACACCTAATCTTGCTCGATTGCGCATTCGAGGAGGCCTTGGAAGAAGTTCTGTAGTTAACTATTTTGAAAAACTGGCCGAACTCCTGCCCACTCTTGTTCCTCATTTGCAGCAATTTGATTGCGAACTTTACTGCTATTCAATCGACACTCATGAAAACGAGTTCAATATTCAAAAACTTAACACACTTTTCAAGGAAATCCGATGCCTTTCTGGACTAGGTCACAATCGATGCTACGCTACCGATATAAAAATCTATCCGTTCAACAATGAGTATGAAGGTAAGCATTGTTGATTTCTTGTGAAGTTGAAACATGTGACTTTATATAGTTTTATCGTATATATATATATCTACAAAGATGGCTCTTTGAGTTACAAACTAAACAAATTTTCTTTCTTTAGAATCGTCGCCACGTCTCTTGGTTCCATCGACAACCACAACATTTCACCGCTACTACGATGAATACAATGGGTACCATGATTATGATGATTATCATCAAGATGAAGACGACGACGAATATGAAGCGTGGAAAAGAAATGAGTACGGAAATGGACCAAATATGTACTGGGATGCTGAATCAGACGAATGGTGTTCACTGCCATGAACAGTGTGAGTGTGAGAGCGTGTCTTCAAGATGTCTGTTTTATTTTATATAATACACTAGTTGAGATGACATCAGTATTTGTCAAAAGATACATTTCATGTGTTTTTACCAACTTGTCATCCACCCTTTTACTCTATCTTTATCATCACGTTCTTCGACATTTCGCCGTACAATACAATAAGTTAGACTCACGATTCTCTCATAATGATATCGAGTACCATCTTCATCGGTAGTTTGTGTTTTGCTCACATCACTATCTCTCTTGGATAATTCGACGGCTAACATTTCAAAGAATCGTTCTTGTGCCCTCGAGGAAGATTTTGTCACAGACCATAACGTATTCTCAGGATTTCACTCCAACAAGGAATAGATTCCTGCTAATTTCCAGTCCAGTATATCACTTATGGTGTTTTGGTTTCTTTCGACTAGAAAAGATTGGCAAAGTGTAGATCTCTGTGTGCAATGAATCCTTGAACATCGAAATCAATATCACTGCTCGAAGTAATATATTGTCGAAGTCGAGTGAGGAACGATTCACGTAAAGAAACACAATGATGATGAGTTTCGATGGCATGAATGTCTCGCTGTAAACGTGTGAATAAGTATTGTTTCCAAGTTTTGAAGGAGGATGTCAGATTTAATGTTTCATACGACTCAGAAGGATAAATATGAGAGCGCCAAAATTGTTCGATATGTTCGTTCGTGTAACTTCGATATAATGTGCTGAACTTTCTCCATCTGCAGCTATTCCTCCAAACCATTTAGCTTCACCTAGTTTTGATGTAATCAATCGTAGTTTCAGGACGACATCAGCAACTTATGAAACCATCCGCTGAGGATCCATTGTTTTCCAAATGTCACTCAATGTCATTCCCGATAGTTTTTCCAGTACGGTGTATTCAAAACCAATTTCTTTTGTCGAATCACTCCAGCATAAAACTTTTAGTACGGTAATGCTCGACAAACATTTTTGTCGCGTCATAAATTTCAACCAACCTACTTCATTTTGTGTTTTCACTCGAGGATGTAGAGATTTAGAAAGTCGAAGGACGAATTCAGTAGTAGTCAATTCATCGACACCATCTGGAATTTATGGCAAAGAAATCAAATAAATCGATCTGTATTCTGCTGGCAACGTTGTTTTAGACGGTGTTATTATTTTCACCGAAGTCAA